CATAAGAGACACAAAAAACCGATATTTTTCCTCTCTTGATGACAGCGCATAACTTTTAAAATACATCATTATTTTAATATAATTTTTTATATTTAAAAAAAAGTTTAATTATATTTTTTTAGGATTAAGATAATTTAGTGTGCTGCAAATGCATTATTTTTATACAAAACAGGACATAAAAAACATTCAAACGTTTTTCACGCGCGTATCAAATATATTTTCAATTAACAAGCTTACAAAAATTGGTTTCGATTTCAGACTGTCAGGATCGTGCGAACGTGAAACGTCATTGAGTTTCTTGTATATATATTTTGTTTTGTTTTTTGTGAAATCGATAAATTCAATCAACCGATATCGACAAACCGCGGTAACAAACGAGACGATGTCGCGTCAGCTAATTGCATCCGCCGTCAAGACATCTCTAACTGAAGACAGAGTTTCGTCTTTGACAAGCCGAAACTTTCACGAGAAAGCTGTCTCGCGGAAACTCCATTGCCCTTTTTATCATATATTCCCTTGCCGCTTTTATATAGCTCGAGAGATGTTTTTCGTGTGCGAAATAATTTGAGGGACTGAGCATTGGTGCATCACTTTCTCTCTCAGGTTCGTAAAATGAAGCCTTTGGCAACGTTTTATTAACGTCGCGCGATTAAGTTATATTCCGTGTTATTACACATATTTTTTTACACGGTTACCTTATATTTTCATATAATGGTCGTCTGGCATCATATAAGAAGTATATGATGGCTCGTAACATTCAATCAGACTTGTGAAGGGAATATACTGGCTTTTACGAGCACAAGTTATGCGCGAATGAGAAAACTTTCGTTATAACCCTGGATTACGTGAGAGTGGAAAATCGTCCTTTGGGCTCGCAATGTTACATTTGTGTGGAATATCTTCCTATGACTTCTCGTTTTATGTTGAAGTATTTTTACTTCGTAACTTTCTTTAGTAGCGATCTTATTGCGCTCGATATATCAACTCTCGAGGGGAAATCTTTATAATTCAGCATTCAGTAATCTTGATTTGTAAACAATTGATAATATATGTAGATATATTCCAATTAATTTTAAAAATGAGATGCTTTAACATAATTAAGCTTTTATCGGTGCATGATATAAAAAGAAAAATTGTGTCGATGTTCAGTAAAACCTTGAAAAATGTAGGAAATGCTCGTAATTGCGGTTTCAGCAGAGAACGGAACACAGTATTGTTTCGTAACGTGGTACAGATGCGTCGAATAAGCTCAATTCATGCACAGCTGCATACATACAATGTACCGGCAGTAATGTAGTTAAATTCGTACACGTTTGCGAGAGAAGCTAGATAAGCGTAAATTGGATGTCCAGCGAGAGACAATGCTAGGAGACTGGTACCAAGCAATTGCAAATTCTTTGATCAATTTCCGGGCTCACAATTTCCAAATGTCCTTATTTCTTTTGGAAATTAAAAATCATAAAGATTATATGGTAAATCTCAAATTTTATTAAAAAATAATTTGCCAGCAATTATATGAGCGATGAGACTGTCAAAGTAAAATTTTTGAAAATTAAAATTTTTATTCAAGTAAAATTAAACCAAGTAAATTAAACCAAGAATATAAGACTTTTGTTTGAAGTAAAATTTACTTGAAGTTTGAACAAATAAATTTTTGCGTTCTCTAAAACTCGATTCGCAAAAGTATATGGACATTTTCAAATGGTATTATTCTGCATCTAAAGAACTATTGTTGCATTAATTTTTATTCGGAAAAAATTCGATTCGTCATGAATCTGCAAATAAAACAGAAACGTGGAAGAAATAAAAATGGGTTGGCATTAATGAAATAGAAATACAAATATTAGCTAAGATCGAATAGAAAGGTATGCAAGGAATGGTAAACTGCGTGAAACACTTGTTTAAACACAATTTCATAGCTGCAATTAGAAATTTTCGATGCGATTATATAGACGAAATCTATATTTTAATATGCAATCATTGTTGACATTACGTCACTTTTTTAGTTCGGAGGATGTCACAGGCAACTGTGCAGGGAGAAAAAGAATAGGAAGATGGGAAAAGAATTGTTTTCATTGTCTCAGTCGTTTCGTGGCAGCTTAATTTTATCGGACGCCTGTTTCCAACATCACGCGTCAATGACCCTCTCTTTCTCTCTCTTTTTCCATCCGTTTTCAAGCTCTTTTTCTCTCGCGGCTTCAGCTCGAGGCGCATTCCTAGTAAAAATAAGCGAGTTCCTCTGGCATGGTTTCTGCAATCGCGAGAGGAGAATACGCGAGAGAAGGGAACCTTCGTCGTCATCGTCGTCGTGTAGTTTTAATACTCGCGATGCAACCGTCTAGACTTCAGAGTACGCGCGATTGTAAGAAGACGCGAATAATCAAACCAATGTGAAAAGAATCTTATGACCGAGGACCATACTTTTGTGTGTGTATATATATTAGAATTTAAAAACGTCCATCATTTAAAAATATATTATCAGTTTTTTTTATATTTGTGACATACTGCTTAAGTCTCATCCTCAATTTTTTATCGAATACATTAATTTGTTGGATGCAAAATAATAGAAAATAAGATGGAAAATGATATATAGAAAAGAATATATATGTTTCACTGAATATAAAAATAGTACGATTTTATTATTGAATGTAAAAAAATTTCCAAGAAATTTAATATAAAGTTTGATATCAATAAGTTTTTCCGATAATTGTTTATTGATTATTTCTCATAACAATTCTTCGTTCTTTATTTTGCAAATTTAATTTGAAAGAAATTTTCAGTTCTTTGATACATTATACAGAAATATAATATTGTGTATTATTCTTTATAAAGTAATAAATATTTCTTTTTTAAATTCTATGATCGATTTAAGTTGAGCCGAGCTGTGTTGATTTAATTATAATTTAGTTTATAATTTCTATTTTTTTACCTTTTTTTTGATAAGATCTCAATAAGGACGATACAGATAAGTTTTCGAATTGAGGCTTAAAAACGAACAGGTTATTGATGCACCACGTATGAAGTGCATAAGTATGATGACTTTTTCCTGTCGTCTAAATTTATCTCATCGATATGGAAAACGCGATCTGCGTGGACGATGACGGTAGCAGACCTGCGAGTAATAAGTTACCGTAGATCGGGGTTACTTTGATCCGGAGCACGATCGTTGTTGATGAGATTTACTGCTGGCATTTTATGCACTTTCCTCTCTCCTTCTTGAAAGCGACAGCGCGTTGCTCCGAGTAGTTGTTTCCATCATAAATTGACAAGCGAGAAGAAAATTACGTGTATAATTGCCGAGAATTTTCATTATTTGTTTTCGAAAATTATTTTTCATATAATTTTAAAAATTATATGTTATAAAATATTTTCTTATAGAATTTTCTTACATATAAGTATCATCACAAATTTAGGAATGGCTTGCTGTCATATTGTTTTAAACTTACTTTCGAGTAACGAAAGTTACGCGATATACAATTTTCGCATATAATTTTTCTAATTTAATTTTTATATTTTTAAAATCTAACTCTAAATCCGCACTGTTGCAGATTCAATGGTTATTACTTATTATTAAGAGTTATGCTGCCACATCGCTGTCATATCATCTGTTTTTCTTTCCCAGTGAAAGATGCAGACGAGCGCGAACAAAGTTGAGATATTTTTGCTCACACATACAGTTTTGATAATAAAAGCGATGTATGTTCCAATAGCGCTAAAAAAGAATAAATCGAATATTTGCGTGATTAATATAATGCAATTTTGCATGACCATGCATTACAAGAAAATACGCGAAAATAAGAAGTATTAACGTTGGAGGTTCTTTATTATACTTTCTTAAAAAATGCTAAAATAAAATGCATTTTTATCTGCACAAGTTCTGGAGCGCGTGATAAAAAAGCACGCTAAATGCGAAATTCTATTTCAAATTATGAATTCTTGTTACGCAATGCACGCGATGATTGTTAAAGAGAAAAACCATTTTGTTCTCATGTGTATCTTGAATAGAGTACAATAATGGAATGTATGCAACATGATTCGAAATTCAGTTTCAATTAGTAATTTTCCAATATTCATTTTGTCATATTTGCACATTCAAAATTTGAAAATCTTTCAAATATAGAAAGCAAATTTTTTCTGTACGCGATAATATTACATCACACGACAATATTACATCACACGATAATATCGTTACACTATGGACATGAACGATTTTATTTGAAACAAAAATTGTGATTGAAAATTAACGCACAATTGTATTTTATTATATTATTCTTTTCTTATCGTATTGAACCGCTAAATAGTGATTTTTACTTCTACTGTATAATGTTCGTTGTTTTACCAAAAAATATGCACCAAATTTATTGGAATATATATATATATATATATATATGTATATATATACAGTTTTTTTTAAATTCGATAACAATACTCATGTTTCAAACAATTTTGTTGCATAAATTCAGTCTGAAATTAACTTGTTTATGTCAGTATTTTGCGTATTTAAATATGTATAATTTGAAATAATAGTTTTAATCAGCATATAATATTAATAACACATTTTAAATTATTTACTTCTGTTATTATAACAAAAATAAGAAATAGAACTGCAAATAAAAAAAAATTAAATAAAGAAAGGTTTAAATATATTAGTAATTCTGTACACACACACCCATATATTAATTGAGAATATATATTATATATTAGTAATCGAAAAATAAATAATTATAAAAATATTTTAAATATACACACACACATATATATATATATATATATATATATATAAAATATAAATTTTATAAATTTGCGGAATAATAAATATTTATTCAAAGTTTCTATATTCCATGTTTTTGTTGTACAGAATGTTTTTACGCAACAATTTAACTATTCAAAAATGACAGCTGTACCAAAAATTACACGTCAAGCGCGATATTTGTGTCCATATTGTTTCTCATAGTTTGCATGAAATGCAAATGCGAGATTGTAGTAGATCTTTTACTCACCTCGTAGAAGTAAAACGAATCAATCTCCTCCGTTCCATTAATGTCTAACTTCGTGCCATTGGTGTCTTCTAGTAATGTTTCGTAGAGTCCGTCGGTGATGTTCCTCAATCTTCGACCGGCCGTCTGATTATAATCGCCTATATTCCCTTGATTCGCGTCTCCGTACATGTTCGTACCAATTGACATCCACTGTTCAGGTTTTCGCTTTGCGAGCTTGCCATGAAATAGTCATAATTTCGATTAACTTCATGTCCATTAACGACACGATTCTTTCACTCCGCGAAAAATCGCTGTTTTCGTAATAGTTTTGCTTTCTCTGCGCTTGTCGCAAGTTATCCCAGGACGAAGCGATTACAAGAGCATAGAAAGAGTTCTACCATGTCCTGTTTTTGTTATTTCGCGATTCACTCGATGCACCAAGAATAATCCAACAACTCGATTGAAATATGTTCGAAACAACGAGAAATATCCTTGGGTCCCATCACTATTAATGTACGAATGAAGAATTATGATTTGTTGGAAAATACAGAATTTGCATCACACTTGTTTACACGCGACTGTGTTCATTAGAATTGAGCTCTGCAGTTTCGAAAGAAAATAATTCGCTATGAGACATCAATTTGCAAGAGATTGCAAGTTCAGATTATTAAACACTTTTAACAATTGATTCGCAACCACAATATTTCATAGTTTTTTGGTATTAAACGTTAGCAAAGTTAATTTTTCTAATAAACAGAATGTATTCAAAAAGATTTATTTAAAAATGGAACGATTTATATTATTTTAATTTTAACTTTGCTATTTTAATGATAGTACATTTCATTTAACTTAGCTTCTATAAGAGTTGAACTTGTTTTCAAACAATATGTTTAAAATATATATTATAAGATTATATTTTATTATAAATTGAAGTTTATTTTTTTGCTTTAAAAATTAAAATTGCAAGAAGAATAAATCTTTATTGAGTGCGTTCTTTAAATGTTTTTAAGATATAATTTTAATATTCTAAAAAATATGAGTGTGTAAGTTATATTCAGAGATATCACATACATCCGTAACAAATATTCCTTGAAAAAAAACAGTGAAATAAAAAAACATTAAAAGTTTATTACATAATTTGCAAGTAACTTGACTAACTTATTTTTTTAAACATTTGCTATTTAAATAATATATTATTTTATCGTTCATCATCTAGAATCTGAAGTTTCGTGACATATTATGAAAGTTAAATATTATTAGATTTATTATTATATTTTAATATTTCTTTCTCACAAGAACATTGCGCAAATTAAAAATGCCTTTAACTGCAACAAATACAATTTATAAAATTAACGCCTAAAATGTAGGTATCGTTCTTTATACGTTAATGTGATGTACCAAAAATGGTATAATTTTATCAAACATCGTATATAACAATTTGGTATCGTATTAGGAGTCGCTTAAGCTAACAATAAATATAGATTTTATAATTATATGAACTGACAATGAGTTAAAACAGCCTTGAAGAGGTCAAACGACAAGCGAGTTGCTAATTGCACTGATCGTATCGTCGATCTCACGAAAGTAACGGCCAAGAAAAATAGATAAATGAGTTGATATTACGAAAACTTACGCTCGAGTCGTTTCGTTGTTCGCCAAGAGCATTACGATATTTTTCCACTCCAGAAATCCTCCACATAGAAGAATTATGAGTCCGATTTTCACTTCCGAGTCGTTGGATACTACTTAACGGAAAATCCGACTCATTTGTACTTCATTGAGAAATGTCACAATCATTCTCGTTTGCTCGTGAACGTTTCGATTCGGTTTTCTCTCAATAATTTTGTCATAATTTCATTCTTTTGTCATGAGTTAATAAATTAACATTTCCACGGAGAGTGGGATAAACAATTATGTTTCGTTATTAGATGTAATAAGCAGTGAACAATCTCATCATTTCTCTAAATCTTAGAATAAACTGTCATAAAATAAACTTTATTCCATACATAAAAAATAGTAATATGTAGAATGACATTTCATATATATTTCACATAAAAATGCATAAAAATGCATATATGTATATTGTCATATTTAGTAAAGAGTTTTATGAATGGTAATATAAGCGTTATCTGACTATTTTTAATAATATTAGAATTGTGTTAAAAAAGAGTTTGGAAATATATGTAAATTAAGATATATATAAATATTAAAAAATTTACATATAAACTAACTTACATATGACATATTATGCAGACAAACTAAACAACGTTTGAAAAATAAATTTATTATAGCAGATTGAGCCGATATTTTTTAAATATATTCTATATATATATATATATATATATATATTCTATATATTCTTCGCAGCACCGATTTAATTTAGTGATTTCGGCGACTAGTGTGACATTTCACGTCGGGAAAGTATTAAAGTATCGAGCCATTGCGTGTAGTTGACTACTAATTAATGAAAAATCTCTCTCACGCGATGAATATTTTATATTCTCGAAACAGATCTCTCTAAAGAACATTTATTTTTAGTGACCAACCGTTTGTTTTGATTATCTGTTCGTACTTAGTTTTAGAGCGCCATGTGATACGTATCGTACATTTCCGGAATACATTAATGCGCGCGTGTTAACATCGTTCGGCGTCGTAGAAAAACAAAGAAAGAAAAAGAGATTAGCGTAAATTGAAATTTTTCGGTTCGTTTTAACGCGCTCTTATTTCAATGGCATTTAAATTGTGTGGAAAAATTGAAAATAAAGTTTTGTTGACTAAGCCTTTTAAACGATATCGTCTATGTGCGTAACAACTTTTAGCTTTCAATTGTAATTAAAATTACTAGGATTTGCAATTCATATTTATCTGTCAAATTAACAAAATAATTAAAATTGTAATTCAAAATAAATTTTTATTAAAAATGTTATAAAATTTTCTTTATTTCATTGTATAAATATATCTAAAAAAAGTGCCTTCAAAGAACTCGATAATGACAAACGTTACGTTAATTGTACTGTTAATATATTATAAAAGGCCATTATCGTTTAAAGGCCATTATCATTTAAAGGCCATTATAGTCGTTTAATTATAAAGGACAAATAGACCGTTTAGTTAAAAGACAAAGTTTATTCTAGCATTTAACGAATAAAGGAAATTCTGTTAAATAAAGAAGAAATTACATATTATAAGTAATGATTGAATCAAACTATTTTGTGAGTCAAAGATTAATTGCAATATGAACATGCACATATTTATCATGTTTTCATACCGTGTGCATCAGCATAAAATGGCAATTACGTTAGAAGGAAGTTTGGAGAAGTTTCTGAGAAGATATACATTGAAAATCATGTTCGCGTTTCCTAAGACAAAGCATTGAACGCATATATGAAGCAAGAGTCTGTCCATTACGCTTTTCACTATCTCTTTAAGGATAAGACAGGGTAATTTTCTGATAGCACAAGCCTGTTGCATAGTTCTCTCTTTTTTTCATTTTTGTATTATTTTAAAACAAGTCGAGTCGCACAGCAAAAATAAAAATTATTATTTATTAAAACTTTCGTGTTTAATATGACTTTTATGGGTGTTAATAATTTGTAAAAACGTTTGAAATACAATTCGGAAGGATATGACAGTTAAATCTAGAAAATGAAGCCATGATACGCGAGCTCTCAAGTGAATCGAGATGGAAAACGCGCGTTTGAATGGAGATACTGACAGCGAATTTTGTCAAAAATTTACCCGAGAGAGGAGCGAACAGAGATCTATTCCATGCACGCGCGCGGTTGAAAAATTGCTATTAATCCGTGCGAGAACCACTATGTCACACTTAACGTAGCCTGTATATTTCATTCACGATTGCGTTCTTTTATACAACAGCTGTGTATATATTTTATATACATAGATACAAATATGTGATCGTATTGATAATATACATATTTATATACTTTTATTGTTCGCAAGAGACAATAAAAAGTAAATATATATTATTTTCTTATCAGTTTACATTATTTCCATTATTTACATTTATTACATTTTGGCAAAATGTAAAATTATATATGAAAAATGAGTCTCTAACAGATTTAATAGAAAAAAACAGGACTAAAAAATTCTACATTCTTGAAGAAATGAAATTCTACTCCAACATTAATATCTTTATAAACTATATTTGTGTGTGTGTATAAATCGCAATTAAATTTTAGACAAATTGCCACTGTCACAAATAAACATAGAGATCAATTTTGAGTTTGCTACGTCAAAATCTAAATTTCGCTGGAAACTATGATATTAAACTATGTACTGAACTATACCGATTTCAGTTCCTTTCCTACTCAAGTTGCAACAGTATGTTGACCGAGTGATTAGTTTTAATCGTTCAACGAGTATTGAACTAACTGTATTTCATCAAACATAGTTTTGCTGACTTACGTTATATCTAATATCAAAGGTAAATGTTTACAACACGTCTACATTTATTTCGATTTGCTATCAAATAGTTTGACAAATTGCACTTCGATAAGTAATGTGTAGTATGTATATCATTGTATTATTTCCGAGCTTTATACATACATTCAGATTCTATAAACATTCTGTTTCCAGTTCTACGACTTAATTTATAAATTGTATTTGTCTTTGAGATGACTATTTGATAATGAACGATTCAATAGTAATTTTTGCCACATTCTATGAAAAATTCTCTACGTACAAATTTATTTTATAAACACTATCAACGTACAAAATCATATAGTTCGTATCATCATGTAGTTTTTATTATTATATAGTTTAAAATTTGTAAGATTTTATAAACATGATGTACTGTTAATGTTAGCTATAATGTGATATTACATGCAATCAAAAACAAGATCTTGCGAATTATGTTTATTCGCTTGAATGTATGAATTAATATATCATATTTTTTTTATAATATAAACTGAGATTGCCTTTAATCAAATCTAAAAAAAAATAATGTCTTTTAAAACATAGTTTGATAGCACAAATAATACTGAATCTGATTAACATATTTCAATAAAGTAAAATCAACGTCCGGCAACATGACTTATGGACATGGTATAGGCGTGCTTTTAAGTAATCACATGAATTGATTTATGTAAAACAAAATTATCTGATCATTATTGCGTGGATAGAGGAATTTTCTCAGAAAGCTTTCTGCCACAATATTTTATGCAGCTATATTTTGAAGAAAAAAAAGAGAGAGAAATGAAGAAAATATTTTCCTTGCGTAGAAGTGATTTATTCTTTAACAAGATTGTGTTCCGTGGTAATATTTTTGTTGGAAATTCTCGAAGCTGTTATTATGTCATCTTGAATGCATTTAATACTAATGCAACTTTTCAACAACAGTCATATATATAACATCTCTTTCTCTCTCTTTTCTTCGCTCTTTCACACACTCTATCTATCTCTATTTTTTTTGCCTTTTTAAGGTAATATTTTTATAGGATTTATTAAAACGGGAGTTTTTTCATTATACTTACGATAAATCTATTTTGCAATTTATTTCGATTTCTTTACAAGAGCATAAAATATTTAAAATATTTTACTTGGCATTACTTTACTTTTACTTAAAGATACTATTCTCTCCGATACAGAAATAAAATATATTTTCAAATTATATAAAATATTTGAAAAGTTGTGAATAAATTGTTTAATTTATTTTCACGTTTTTATCTTAAAATAAAAATAATACTAAAATTATTATATATATATGCACATATAATATTACTCTAGTTATATACAATTATTTTAATATATAATTATTGTTATATAATTTTTTTAAATAAATTTCAAAAAGTAATATCCACTTGTCATTCTATCTCATACATCAGTAAATATCTAATGATAAAAATAATAAATCAAAGTATATATATATATATATATATATATATATATATCTAGTACTATATCATTAACAGTAATTATATATCATACTTATAACCACTTGATCATATTACGGTTTAAATTATCTATCAATGCACTCAAAAAATCTTGAAACTTTAATCGAACTCTTTTGACATCGGATATTGAAACTGTATAGCTTACTGAGCACGTCTGACGTACTTCAGCTGTTTCTACTTGCCACAAGTAAAGAGTGTTACAAGGTATTACGAGTTGCTGATTCTAAAAAGATAAATATCGACGATAGATGATCTTTCTTTGATCTCTCGTGTACGATGCAATCATAACTTATTATGATATATATACGATATACGTATTCAAAGAGAAGGTCTCGATAAGCAGGAAAGCAATCGCGTAACGTAGTTTGAGCGATTTACAGGAGATTATTATTGGATGTTCAAAGCAGAAAGTGTGGTCGCGTTTTTTTTATAATTTTGCTCTTCTTTTTCTTTAATCCCTAACCAACACACATCTTATCTTTTCCTATTGATTTTCTAATTTTGAATTTACAGGCCCGTTGTGATTATGTGCTCAAAAAAGAGTATTAAAAGAAAAAATTTAAATATTAAAAATGAAATATTATTAAATATTATTACATATATTATAAAATTATATTATTATAAATTATTAAAGTACGGAAATTGACATACGAGTTTTAAATTAAAGGACAAAGAAAATGCAAAAAATAGACCAGAGATGATGGTCTTTAAAACTGCTGCATATTAACTTGCTTTTACTTTTTTTTATTCTGGTTTTTATCATATGAAATCCCTTTCTTTCTAAAAAAAATATGTATAAACTGGAGGAAAGAAAAGTTCCGTACTAAAAAATGTTTTCATACAAAAATAAAAACAATAATATATAGATGTTAGGTTTTATTCTATAATAATTAAAAATTATGTGTGTGTGTGTGTGGATTTATTGCATCGAGAATAGAATAAGAATAAAAGAAAAATATCCCGATATGTAATTCTTTTGTTCTAAAAAATAAAAGCAAAGAAAGCTTGAATGCGCAGATTTTTAAATAAAATTAAATTGCTCATCATAAATTATTTTATTTTTGTTTCCAATACAAACTTATTATCAGTTTTAGAATACAAAATTTATCATTATTTTAAAGACAATAAGAAATTCAGAATAAAAACAAGAGATGCAATCAAAAATTTCGTGCATTTCAATCTTAATTTCTACTCTCTGTAGTAAAAAAGGTAATTGGATTCTGTATGCAAAGATTACAAAAAATATTTGATTAACGTTCTAAGACCCTTATACAACGTAATGCAAATATATTAAATATTTTAAACGTTTATTAAGTAAATTTTTGGATAAAAAGTAAAATTAGATAATTGAATAAAAATAACATTAAAACTGTGTAATTTAATTATTTCTTTGATTCTTTCATAGCATTGCCAAATTGTTATTTTCAATGAATATATTAATTAATTATTAATTTAAATTACCAAATATTAATATTAATCGCAAAATAATCTTATGTTTTTTAAATGTGTTCTCAGCTGAATATATACTGTATAGTCTAAAAAAAATGAGTTACATATCTTAAATAAATTATTACATTATCAGATGTAATGTAATAATTTGTGATGCTCAAAATATTAATCAAAATGACTGGACAAAATGATTGTCGATACTAGTATAAGTCTTATATACATTATAAAAGAATTAATTTACTTTATCTAACTTTATAATACATATCTGGAAAACCGCGGCAATTAGAAACGAAACGTTCATTTTAGAGGGGGAGAAAAGTAACCCTTATATGAAATAACGATGAAAAATGATCTTACAATCATTGAAAATGTCTCGATATCGTATTCGGCAACAGGTTACACAGCTCCCCCGAGTGTAGTCTATTTTAAAGTAGTGATATCCATGAAATCGGCACGCCTAAATTGAATTCGAACTCCCATTTGTCGTGAGAAATTTATCACGACTACGTTTCGAACATAGAAAAAAAATGCGGATTACTTGAGAAAGAATCATCTCCCCTTGAACACCATCGCGAAAACACTGTCAGTCAATTTATTCGATCGTAGACGTTTCACGACACCGAAGACGAAACGAGCGACTGAATCCGATCAGGATCGCTCTTTCGATAGCGATCCATCCTATCGATGTATCGAAATGCCGCGATAGTGTTCTGTAAAAATCGAGTTTTACGTGACGTTTAACATACGATCTGCTGACAATCACTCAGCTTGTTTTACTCTTTTATTCGTTATGCAGGTTTGCTCGTTTAGTCTGAAAGCTCTGTTTACGTCACATTGCCGTTGAATACATCTTCCGGATAGGCAAATGAATTCGAAAGATAGAAGGTTGAATGGAATGATCTCCGACAGAGAGGATGCGAGCAAAGACGCACTCGTTCGTACGACGCGCGGAACGCGACTGAAGGCGCGTCGAGAGCCGGTCCGAGAGAAGGAATTACCGGCACACGACGTGGCGTCGCGTTCGTGTGCGCCCACGCTCGCGCACGTGTCAAAGGGTTCTTGCGAATTTACCCTCCCGTATAGAACAAAAATGATATGTATACACATTCGTATTAATAGCATACAGTTGAGATACGCGATGTACCGACGACCATAACATTTGTACTATTTTTAGGTAACGTAATTTTTCTACTACTTTGACTGATGTGTGAATAATTCATATAAAATGTAAATGTGTGAATAATTGAAATTAAATGTCCCATTCAGAAAGTTATTTAATTCGAAAGTAATGTTATAATAATATCTAATTTTATGTAAATATATTTAATCACACAGTGATACAGCAAACTAACGATTATAGTGAAAGTTCTAATTTTATACAAAGTAAAAATAAATTTTAATTTATCTAACGCTAATGTTTAATAAAAATATAGAAAATATTGTTAAAAATTAGTTGAATACGCAAATAAGTAGGACGCAAATAAGAAACAAAATTTGTTCAGGACTATTGTTTCGGAGAAAATTATTATTTGTATATAAAAATATTCTCAAAATCTGCATTATGGTTGGATTAATTTTATATTTTAATACATGATATGTCATATAACATTGCAGAAATAAATATTTTTGATAAAAAATTGAATATTTTATATATAGTATATACAATATTTGTCACTTAATATTGCTTTTTTAATATTTATATAAATTTAATTAATTAAAAATAAAGAAAAAATATGCTCACATATACATATATGTATATTATTATTAATTATCAACATATTACTCAACCATTAAATAACAATATTAAATCGAAAAGCACTGAAACAGAAAAAAAGTAAAAAACAAAGTAAAAAAAAAAGAATATCAAAGAATTGGAATTCTGTGAGTTGACATATGTCTCGGTAGCATTGTTGCGTTAAATGGAATTTATATTTCGAAATATATATAGTCGCAGTTACAATCCAGCAGAAATATTTAGCAAACATTAACAACATACGTGTAATTTTTATTGGCATGTTTGCCGATACTGAATATACTTGTGCTAACAAGTGGTTGAATTTTATTGAGTTTGTTATCTCCGTTAATTCCGATTGTTTTACTTTAATTCCAATCAGTTGCAATTTCAATGTAGTTTTAATTCCATCTGATATCGTAAAATCTCACACTGAATGTTAATTAATTTCGCGAATTACTGAATGTTATTCTTGCTTTTTATTCAAATCAAATGTCCCGTGTGTAAATAATCAACTATTTCAATATATACATATATAAAATGACATGTTTACCATATACTAATGAATATAATGCAAATCTAATACATTTTTTAATGATATATTTTAACACATTTCAATTTATTGTTAAAAATAATATAAGATGTGTTTAAAAATAAATAATAGGTCAAAAGATAATTACGAAAACGTCAAAATCGATGTTCTATTATTTTTATTAACTTTTTATAATTCTTATTGACTTGCTATTAATCTCTTGTTATTGTACTTATTCAATCATTTTTTTCTCTCAAAATACTAATTAAAATAATTTTCAATTTATTTTAATATCAAATTCGAGATTTAGAGCAAACTAGCTTTTCCAATCAAATATTTACAAAAATAGCATTCCTAAATTTTGCACAAAATTTTTGATATAATTCTCGTTAATTGAATATCGATTGAATGTTTGTGCTTCACTTTACAACCATTTTATTATTTTATATATTATTTGCTTTGAATTTTGCGAACCGTGACGTATCTAATTCGTTGCTTTATCAAAAATATCATAAAATAATATTTCGGGGGGAGGGGGGTCACGACTCTTTTTTACAATAAAAAATTACTTATTTACGCATAGATCTATCTGGAATTGCATGATAATATATATAAAATACATTTACAATACTTCATATAAGTAAGCAAAATAATGGAGAATTGAATTTATAGCTTTAAAATAAAATCATGGCAAGTTTAAAGGGAGTTCAAAGAAACTAATAACCTAAGATTATAATACAATTATCTCCAAAATAGGTAAATTATCTGGTATGATTTTTAAATTAAATTTGTTTTCGTAGATATTACAAATAAACCACAATTATGAAATTCTAATTACGCGATAAGTAACATGATATTATAATAAATTTCCAAGCATGTTACGATGTGGTAGCATAACAACCCGCATATTGCTACGAAGATATGTCGTAATTATTATACAATACCTAAATGCCTACCTCGTGTTTCAAATGCATTCGTAATTATCATGAATGCTGCTGTTTATCAGAACGAAAGTATGAACATTAATGTGCATTGACAAAAATTGGCAATAATGTGTTGAATGTATATGTATATTGAAAAATCTCTTTTTAGTCTATACGATACAGTTACATTTACATGTATAAAAAATATTGAATAGTTTGTGTAGTAAAAATTATAAGTAATTCAGAAAATTATATGACTTACTTCATATAATTCTGCATGTGATTGCATGTTTGCTTGAACACGCGGTACTACATTAAGAAAATCTTTTTCCCATGATTTCCAATGTCTTGGATTTAATACCGGGGAAATATTGCTTTCCATTTTCGTCCACCATATCGACGAAATTTTTCGTCGTTAATAGCTCGAATCCTACACTCCTCGCAGATTTTTGCGAGGGTATCGATGTGAACGCCGTGGCTGTCACTGGAATATTGTACTCCCGCCCAATAAGATCCCTAAATTGAGATAATGCAAGACTTTAATAAATTTAATAAGAGTGAAGTTAATAAGTATGAAAAAATATTAAATATTATGTATTATTAAAAAAATTTATTAATGGCATACGAAGAATCTAAATAAATAAAATAGAATCTTATACTATTTTTTTATTCAATTCATTTAGATATTTCTTTAGTCTAAAAGAATTAGATATTCAAATTTAATATGACGAAAGATGCAATATTAAAGTTTATTAAATGTATTAGAAAAACGTAATATTTCTATTTTTATTTCTATTTTTTATTTTATATATAAAATATATTAAAATGTCGAAAAACATTTATAAAATTTATTAAATATGTTTATAAAAAAATAAAAGTTATATGTATACATTAAAAAAGATTATTGCTATATAAAAAATGTATGATTTAAATAGAACTTAACGATATAAATAATTTCGCAAAATTCCTTACATCATAAGTAAATATATTCAAGTTAATATAAATATTTTAAATATGTGTATATTTCTAGTGTTTCTCATGTGATAAAAATGCTTATAATGAAAACGAACTACTCTCTATATAATTGTATATTATTTTATATCATTTTTAATAAAAGAATTAATTTTGACTTTTAATTCAAATTTTCTCTTTAATTAAAATTTTATTTAAAGCTTACAATAGAAATTAAAAATTACAGTGGCTGTAAATCAATCATAAATTTTTGCTCAAAAATATTTGAATAAAGACTGAAATTATAATTACTCTATCAAAAGCGATATTAAAATTATGAAAAATGGCATGTTTTTAATATTAAATAGCATGAACATTTGTGTCTAAACTTGTAGTGTTTAAATTTAATAAATTAATCTATTTTATTTAGATTGTTTTAACAATAAGAGAGTACGATCAAAATCTTAATTTCATTTGCTTATATATAAACATTTTTATCTCTTTGATATAATACAATTACATAATAGTTTAATACATATATATAAATTTATACCTAGTTTTTAGAATATCTTTTCCTAAGCCATATCCTCGATAAATGGGAAGTACACTAAGTCCGAGAGCATATAAATATTTATCTACGCCATAATAATCGTATGTTATTGTAGTATCGCATTTGCCTATAATCGTATTGCAATTTTGTGATTTAAACTGTAATAAGAAATTATCGATCATTACTTAATGATGTATATCACTACAACGATATAACGTAATGAATGTGATAATATAATATTATACTTAATATTATATTAAACAAAAAAAGTAAAAATGCTTTTGATATAAAATTTCAAAGCAGAATGAAAATAATTATTTATATATATATATATATATATATATATATATATATATGTACTTATATATATAATGTAAATATTTATGTTATATAATTTATATTTATAATTTTTATGTGTTATCAGAACTGTTCATAATTATTCAAAATTGATCTTTTGTAACGAATCAGTATAATAACTTTCGAATAAAAAAATAAAAATTCTTATTATAAAAATTAAATACATATATATATTTGAAAAAAAAATTAATGAGGAATATCTACCTGATACTGTGAAATACTATCTTTATGATCTTTAAAAGCAACACTTAAAACATTCATGCCGGCAATTATAGGTTTCCCGGTCGGATTATCGACGAAGGCAGCTATACTTAAGCCTTGTTCAAGAAATAAGTGCCATATTACATTCATATCTTGCAGAAATAGAGAGTCATCTTTCGCATCTGCAAATATACAATAAATGAAAAATGACAAGAATACAATATAAAATAGAAAATAATTATTTTAAAATAATAAATCGAAAAAAGTGCTAATGTATAATTACAAAACATAATATAAAAAGGGCTAATAAAAGCCATGCATACACATATATTAGGTGCAATAAAATTATTTGTAAATTTCTCTAAATTTATTTTAAACGTTGGTTTTCGCTCTCTCTTTAGACTATGTATATAGTTTAGACTATATATGTCAGAGAGGAGGAAAAAGAACAGAAGCAAACGTCCTGATTTCCACAATAATAGTTACTGACTGTATTCAGTAATGTAGTAATTCAAAAACGTTCAAAATAAGTATAGAGAAATTTAAAATAATTTTATAACATTTAATATCTATGCTTGGCTCTTACCAGCTCTTTCTATACCATATTTTGTGTAATTATTTGGCTCTGAGTTAGCATAAAAATCCAATAAATAATTTAGATATAAATAAATATTATTTAATAATATTAAAAATAATTTTTAAACTAAATATTAATTTTTAATAATTTTTTATTGTGATAGTTTTTTTATCTTAAATATTCATATTAATTATTATATATGCAAAGGCAAAAAAAAATTACAAAAGTAAGATTACATTATTAAAAAGATAAAACAGAAAATTGACAAAACTTACTCAAACATTGACAAATCGGTTCGTCGGCCAAAAAGTACGTACACATATGTTGAAATGCATCTTCGTACCTGTCTTCAGGAATCTCTTGAATCGTAAATTTCATTATTGTACCATCCTTATTCACTTTTTCGATGGATTTCCAAATTTTGGGTGGTTGGCCTAATGGCTTAATACGTGATAAATTTTCCATTGCTTTTTTAAAATTTGTTTTCACTTCTCTACTTATTTTCTGTGTGTTCTCTGAGTTAAATGATATTTGCTTAATGAGAACGGTTGCGGAAATGAAAGGTTTATGCAATATTTATTATACGCTGGACTCTAGCTGTTGTTCACAAGTCAACTAGTGTCAACGAAGTGACTTGAATTTAATGTAACTACCTACAGCATTATTATCACTTCACTACACACGAACAAACACAGTATTGAATCAAAAAAATGTTATCTTCTTTTCTGATTATCTCATTTGTACAAGCAGACGTTCATTTTAAATTAATCTATTTTGATTACAGAACTCTTCCTTTATTATAATAGCATGAGCAATTTCTTAGTTATTATATAATTGCTCTAATAATTTAAAAAACAACAACGATATAAAATAAATTTATATTTATGTATGTGTACGTGTGTATATATATTATATATACATATAATAGCGTATATTATCTATATGATAAGAAACATATAAAGTTCTAAGGAGTTAAAGCATTTCAGATATTTCAGCTACTTTTTACGCAATTAACTATTGCGCAGGAAATATATCTTTAATTGTATTAATTATTATATAATATTATTAATTATATAAATTGTGAAATATTGTTTATGTAATTAAATAGAATGCACAAAAATATATTTAGTAAATAAATATGTTAAATAAATATATTATGTTTGAATTTATTTAATAAATAAATAAGTTTCTAGTTAATTATGATATATTTGTAATCAACAAAATAATTAAAAATATATTTTTGTGCATTCTATTTAATCGCATAAACAATATTCCACAATTTATATAATTAATAATATTATAATAATTAATACAATTAAAAATATATTTTTAATAGTTGACTGCATTGAAAATAGCTGAATTGCTTTATCAACTTCTTAGAACTTTATCTGTTTCTTATCATGTATAATATACAAATATATATACATACCATTTCTGATCTGATTAATATTATCAGATAAAAATAAAATATTTGTATATATGTATGTGTATTATATATTTCTTTCTAAAGTTAAAATCATACTTAGATCCTCTGCTTTCAAAAAATTTAAGTTCTGAGATCTTCTCTATTACGTTAGAAGTAGCTTATAATAAATAATCTTATTGCGCAATATTATAATTTATTAGAGCATAATAGAAATATATTTCCAGTGCCTTCTGAAATCTATTCTATAAAATTTTTCTTTTTTGATTATGGTATTTATCGGCCAAATTTTTTTTATACGATGACTCGAATATATTTTGCATCACGCGCATTAGATTTTCCATCGATATATAATTTATTATTGTTACATTTAGTTTAAAAGAACAAATTAAAAAATTAGTCTTAAAAAATTCTCAAATTTTAATAAATATTATAATTAAACGCAATTTAAAAGATGAAGTATCCACTTGTAAATCAAATTCGTTACATCAATCAAATGTAATATGAAAAAATTATATTCTTATCGCTCTTATAACAAAAATTATTTATTTTCATACCTACAAATACATTTTATATTACATATAGCATATATAAAATAGATTTATAATACATCAATACATTTAAAGAAAATAATCGAGGATAATGCAGAATTTTGAAGTTACAGCTTAGGGAAGTAAAATCGTGACAATTTTATTAAATTTAGAAAAACTTATAGCGTTTAATACAATTGTTTCCAGTAAATAATATATATGTAAATTATATATCTCGGATGATTTCTAAATTAAATTTTTCTTTGTACTATAAACAAATTGCAATCATATAAAATTCTACCCACGTGATAGTTGATATAGTATTATCATTAAATTTCAGGCGTGTTTTGACGTGATAACTTAACGTGCAACCCATATTTCCTATGTATGTGTGGAAATATGTATAGTTAACAGTTTACAACACTTGCGTATTTCAAATACATTTGTAATTACTGCAATGTCATTGTTTATTGGAACGGAACTACGTTTAAATATTAATATGCTTTGATATAAAAGCTGATAATAATGTGTTGAATATATACGTACAATGAACATATCGAAAACAATTTTTTATTATTATACTTTTTATTTCATGCGTTATGAAGACGATTATGAACAACAGTAGTAAAAATTGTTAATAATTAATTTAAAAAATTAGGTGATTCATTTTCGTATAATCTTATGCATGTTGGCTTAAACACGCAGTATTGCATTATAATAATCTTTTTCCCATGACTTCAAAGTTCTCGGATTTAATACCGGGAAAATATTGCTTCCCATTTTCATCCACGATATCGACGAAATCTTTTGTCATTAATACCTCGAATCCTGCACCTTTTGCAGATTTTTGCGAGATTATCGATGAGAATACTGTGGCTGTCGCCGGAATATTGTATTCGCGTCCAACAAGTTCTCTATAAATGAAAATTATGCATATTAATGAATATCGAAAAATAAAACTATGAAAAGAATTATTAAAATTATATATATATATATATATATATATATATATATATGTGTGTGTGTATATTGATTGATTAATAATTGAAAACTTCGATAATTTAATAAGATTGTAAATAGATAATAGAATTTATTCATATTATTTGTTATTCAACTTAAATTTTATTCTGAAAGAATAAATTAAATATTTAGACAAAAAGAGAGATGCAATGTTGAATTTTATTAAAAAGTAATAGAAAGACATAGAATTCATTTTATTTTTAATTTCGTGTGTAAAATTTGATATTATGTAATATATCGAAAAAAATATTTATAAAACTCACTAGGTAGTAGGATTTATAATAAAAACGATTATATGTCATACATTTTAAAAAGAATTATGTTTTTAATACTGTATATGGCTTTAAGTAAAGTTAATGTAAATAATTTTTGCAAAATTGTAATTGTTATATAAGTAAAAATATTCAAATCAATATAAGTATTTTAGATATTTGTATTTTACTCGTGCTTCTCAAATGATAAAAATATTTATAAAAAAAAACGAACTTCTCTATATTCTTGCAATCATTTTTTAATAGTGAAATTAATTTTAACTTTTATTTTAAGTTATCTTTTTAATTAAAATTTATTTAATTAAAAATTTACAGCGGAAATTAAAAATTACAGTGGCTGTGACTTATTGTTAATGATTAATTTTTGAAAGAATTTGAATAAAGGCCGAAATTATATAATAATTTTGTTATCAAAATTACATGCATCAAGATTATGAAAAGTGATACATTTTTAATACTCTAAAGCTAATATTATATACCATATATGAATATTTATGTCTAAATTTATAGTGTCTTAAATATCTTTTTAATTTAGATAATTCTAAGAGAAAGATAAACCAAAATCCCTTTTTTATTTGTTTATATATATTAATATAAGCACCTCTCTTTCTATCCTTCTCTTCAATATGATGGAATTACATAATATTTTAACATAAATCATACCTAAGTTTTAGAATATCTTTTCCTAAGCCATATCCTCGATAAGCGGGATCGACGCTAAGTCCAATAGCATACAGATACTTGTCTACTCCATAATGTTCGTATATTATTTTAGTTGCACCAGTGATAATTTCGAGTGTATTTTTGCAATTTTGTGATTTAAACTATAATAAAGAAAGAATTATTATTAGTTACTTAATTATATAAATACAATACATAAAGCAACGTAACATTTGTTGTGATAACATAATATTTAATATTCTGAACAAAAGAAATGAAAATGTTTTTTGATATTTTTAAAACAGACTAAAACAAGTAATAAAAAATATGTAATGATTATATATATACGTGTGTATGTAAATTTATTTTATATAATATATAGATAAGTTTTTTTTATAATCATAATTTATGATTTTGGCTGACTTTTATCGATATTGCATAATTATCAAAAAGAGAGCTTTAATGACGAATCAATATGATTATTTCCGAATAAAAATATTTATTATTAAAGTAAAATGTATATTTATAAAAATAATTAACGAAATATCTACCTGATAATTTGAAATACTATCTTTTTGGTCTCTAAAACCAAGACCCAATGTATTCATACCAGCAATTATAGGCTTCCCTCCATTAGGGTTATCGGTGAAGGCAGCTATGGAAATGCCTTCTGCGATTAATAAGCGCCATAGTGTACTCATATCTTGTACGAATACAGGGTCATTTATCGCATCTGCAAGTGCGTGATAAATAAAAAAAATGATAAAAATACAAGTTAAAAAGAAAATAATCATTTTGCTCGAGTTGGCATAAAAATCTCAAAAGTAAACAATTTACATTTAAATATTATTCAATATTTAAAAAAAGGAACTTTTATAAGAATAATTTTTTAACAATTGTTATGTTACATTATCAAAAAAAATAAGAATGAAAAAATAAACAAAACTTACTCAAACATTGACAAGTTGGTTCATCGGCTAAAAAGTGATCACACATATGTTGAACTGCATCTTCATGTCTGTCTTCAGGAATTTCTTGAATCGTAAATTTCATTGTTTTGCCATCATTGCTCACTTTTTCGATCGACTTCCAAATTTTGGGTGGCTGGCCTGGTGGCTTAATACGTGGCAAGTTCTCTATAGCTTTCTTAAAATCCGCTTCAACTTCTCCACTTGTTTTCTGTACATACTTTCGTGTCGAATGACACTTGTTCCAAACATTGCGAAAACGGAAAGTTCTCAACATTTATATAATGCGATGTTCTCTGTTCGTTCACAGATCGGCTACTGTTAGTCAATAGCTTGAATATGTACATAATAAACCATTATCGTCATTACACACAAGCAAAGGACACGACAGATACAGATGAGTGTTTGTTGCAGTGAACATACGCAGTGTACATATATATATGTTATCACTATTTTTGCTTATCTCGTTTATATAAGAATTTTTTTTAATTAATCTATTCTTGACAGAGCTGCCTTACTTATCGTACTAGCATGCGCATTATAAATATATTTCCTGCAATAATTAGCTGTACACTGCATCGAAAATAGCTGAATTGCTTTTAAAAATAGAGCATTCAATTTATTTAAACTTGAGAATTTTGCAAGTGGCTGAATATGAATTTAATGTCAAAATTAACAAATTTAAAATGTATATTTCTGTAAAAATCAGAACATTTTATAAGTTTGATATCTATATTATTTATTCTATTATTTTTAATCTGCCAATTATATTGTAACGTCGAATTTGTATTCAGGAATCGAAAAAAATCCTTGAGTTTGATTAAATACATTTGAAAACTATATAAATTCTTAATATAATCTAATTTTTTCACAAAACTTTTCCGCAATATAGGCCTCATATTTAACTTTGAATATCTTATCAACTTTAATCAACACAAAAGATTTCTGTTGAAAGTTGTAACAACATATTATTTAATTTCAATTGCACTAAGACTTCTTTAACACACATCGCATATTTTTAGCAGCTTTAATCGCAAAGTTTTAAAATTGTGACATGATGGAGCAATCTGGAAAACGGGATCGTATTTAACATCAAAAAGTTAATTAGCAACAAAAAAAAAGTAAATTTTTGTAATGTATTTTTTCAAATTAAATCGCGTAATTAATTAAAAGTTGAAATTATTAATTATATCACTTAAAATGTTAAACATATATATATTAGACATAAAATTATTTTACATAGCTTATACATATATGTAACAGAAAATAAATATATATATATATATATATATATATATATATATCTTTTTGTTTACAATGATAATAAATCGATTAGCCTTGACATTTGTTTGGGTTATAACATCGTATTATTATTGCGCAATAAGACCCGAGTTGGCAAACTAATAGATGACAAACTACAGAAGATGTGCCTTCTTTTAAATTGTGATAATTTTTTACAAACAGTTAACGATAGCACACAATCCGTCCAATTAACTCCGTGATTAAAGTTTCATTAAGATATCAAAGCGGTAGCTATATGTACTGAAGCAAATACTTTATGCAAAATTTATTAATTCAAAATAGAAATCAAAGCGATAAAATATAAAATCATAAATTACTGCTTAATGTATTCACAAACTCTTGTGTACTTACTTTTGTATTTAAAACGATAGCTATATATATATGTATATTTTCATAATTATTACATGCATCTCTTGTATTTGAATATAATTTCGCAACGCGAGTAACACAATCGATCGATTGATAATTAATCGACGATTAATAAATAATTTCCAATGTATTAAATATTTTAATTCGCATATTTTACACTGAAAAAAAAAACTACTGAACTCAAATAAATATTTACTTTAATAGTCCCATTTACACATTTGTTTGAAACAAATAAATATTTATCTGTTTTGAAAAAGGATTTCTTATATCACATAAATATTTTTTACAAAAAATCAATATTATTAGTTTCAAAAAAATGATGATAAAATAGTATTGAAGTAAATCTTTATTTGAATAATTAAATATTTTTTTTTCAGTGTATATATAAAATAATTATGCATTATATCATTATCGTTTTATATGACACATAAATATCGGATATAACTTGAAATTCTCAAAATAATTTACAATTAGATATATTATTCTTTCCCATATATTTCCTTATCTCGTTTGTACATGCATACTTTGATTACATTAGTATTATTTTGATTATACTCGCTCTATGTGCAAAAATATAGTACGAATACTTGGTAGAGATAACTGTAATCATTTTAGTAACATATTATATTTAAATAAGAAGAAGAAAGTATATAAAATAGCATGTGTACAATATATACACACCCACATATATGTATATATATAAATTTAAATAGTATTATTTTTTATACATTAATAAGAAAAAAATTATGCATATTCAAACGCGAATAATTTCTCATGTTACTATTATTATTACATAATTGATATTATATGTCTCGACCGATTTTTAAAAATTTATTGGGTTTTATTTATTTTTTAAATACTATTTCAAATTTATATATTAATCTACTGCAAATTTTTAAAATTGAACAATTATTATATTGAAAAATAGAAGGTGTATTTGTATTCAGAATAATCTTTATTATAATGAATGTATATCACATATACATCATTATTATTCTACATATAACAGACATAGTATGTATCTGTGCGCATATATACTACATATATACACACACATATTCATAATTCATAAAACATTGATATTCTATGTAGCTGTAAAATCTGTATTAAAGTCGTAATCATCGGAATTAAATTTGAAGTCTTCAAGCTGTCCTGCTAGTTTAATAGCGGTTTTCTCTGAAAATCAATAACCATTTTTAAACAAATTAATATTAAACATTTACGTTATAAATTCTTCTTTTTTGCCATACCTCTTCTTGCTCGTTCCTTCTTTTGTTTCTTGAATTCAAGTTTTCTGAGTTTATTCAATTTTTGATTGCCTTCAATCTCAAACAGTGGATCTGATTTCTTCAGTCTTTCAGCAGATACATCTTTCTTTGTATCTTGCAACTTTTTCTTTAATTTTTTTTGCACTTTAAATTCCTATGGAAAAATATCGATTAATTATTAGACAAAATAAACTCAAAACATAAAATAACAATAAAATAATGTTAAAATATAAATATATTTGCACGTTACCAATTCTTTTGGATTTCGACTTCCATTGCCGCCGTGACAGGTCCTGAACTATCAATTAGTGTAGGATCCGCGATAGAATTGTCCGTTGTAAAATTGTCGAGCATCATTCTTTCCTCTGTGGCAAATTTTTCAATGTCAAATTCTTTAGCCATTTGACTGACAATTTCGGCGGATATCTGACATACCGGTTGTTCAGGTGGCATCGTGTAATACCTGTAAGGAAATTTAATCATATTAAATATACATACATATATATGATCATATATACATATATGATTATGTACATATATGGAGAACGTAACGCGAACCTAATTTTTCCGGAGTTCCAATCCTCGAGGATACTTCGTGCGGCAGCACGTGTGTCAGGTACTCCACCTTTCCTATATTTTCCCATCCTTGCCGCTTTCATCGCGAAAAACTCATCTGGCGTCGAAAATTCTTGCATATTGTATAATTCCATAATTTGTTGTCGTGAAATTCTTTTTAGAATTGCAGTCGCCGGTATAAAAGGATCTTTCAATGCTTGAATTTTTACTGCATTTTTAGAGCTACAGATGTGTCATCAGATTTTTCGTCTGAATTAGCAAATACTATGCCGGGAGAATCTAATAGCTTGATTTTAGAATCTAATTGAACAACTTGCATAGTTTTTGTTATTCCTGAAAATAATTGCAAAGAAAATATAGACTAAATCGATAATATATGTGTATATAAAATAAATTAATATATTATTAAAACATATACAATATATACGTATATATATATATATATAATACCTATACAAAAATAATTAAATACCTGGTATATTTCCCACATTACATGCTTTGCTGCGTTTCAAGGAATTAATAACACTAGATTTTCCTACATTTGGAAGACCAACGACTCCAACTGTAATACTAGTCTTTATATTGCCATTGTTTCTGCAATAATTGCCAAGTAATGACAAGAGTAATTCTGCACCAAAACATGTGTTGCTTTGTATCATGGACTCTGTTTTCATTCCTAGTTTTCTTCTGCCTAATCGCTTTGTTTGATTCTGTGTGGACGATTTAAATGCCACAGCTGGTAAACTAGCTCTTAAATATTTTAACCATTGATCTAAATTTTCTCTGGGAATTAAATCTGCTTTGTTTAAAACTAGTACCAATCTTTTATTCCCCTTTGCAGATTGAACTGCTTCTTCGACCTATAACAAAACAATCAATAAGTTCATGTAAAAAAATATATTTATATTTGGAAGTAATTTTGGAAGAATTTTACCTGTTTACATCGTGTTCCCAGTGGATCACGAGCATCCACAATCTCAAGAATAACATCAGCTGCATCCAGAACCTTCTTAAATTCCTTATAATATGCTTTAAGTGAGTTTTCTTTCTTAGTAATAGCATTTTTTATTTGATCTTGAGCAGAATCTACTTCCATGGATTTATGTGCTAACTGCTTATTCTGAGCTTGATTAACCAAACTTTGTAGATCACCTTTGGCAAGTTGCTTACGTTTTTCCACCTGCGCAGCCTCTTTCTGTTTCTGCTTTTCCTCCTCTTGGTGTTTTTTCATCGCTTCTATTTCCTTTAATATATCCTCTTTAAAAGGACATTGATTCGGTACTTGTATCATCTTAGCTTTCTCTGAATAAAAATAAAACTATGCTTACTAAACGATTGTAAATATATATAACATACATTTATAGAATTGGTTATAATCAACTTACTTTTAGAATGTTTGGCTTCTTTCTTCAACTTTCGATTATGTTCGCGAACTTTTTTCTCGATTTTATATCTTTTTCGCGCTGGCATGCGCTTGCTTGATTTATCTAATATACATAATAAAAGTATTAAAAAGAGAAATAGAAAATATGTCTTTTTATAGGAGTGCGTTAATATATTAAATTTGAACAAAGATAATAAAAAAATTCTCATATTATAATATTCATATATATTTCACTAATTATAATTAAGTTAAAATATTAATTAAGTTAAAATTAGTACCAAAGTAGGAATATAAAAAAATTTTGTCGCAAAAGTAATATGCCTAAAGTAGATTATCTTATTCTATCATTAAACACAAGATTTTAATAATGCATTTAACAATAACTTACTGCGAAGCTTCATCCTCGTGTGTACTGTTATTAATTATTGTTAATTATTATTTTGCTATTAATAATCGGAATATTAATACATGTACTACACGCACGTAAGTAATCACGCGCACGTGGTTAAACTTTTAGGTTAGAAATCAGAGTTGCAAACAAGTACTTGGAAAAAGATCCTAAAATTTTTCTTTTTTTTTCTTTCTTTATTTTTTGTTAATTATTTGAAGAATCTTATAAATTTTCAAAATTTATTCACACTTTCTGCGAGAAATTTATAAAATTCTTTGAGATCTGCAATTTGGGGAAATTCATTCTCTCTATTTTTTCCTAGAACGAATGCGCGATGCCATCGACCGAATGGCATGGCAATTAACATTTCGGATGGTGAAAGGCACGCTTATAAATGCATATGAGGATTCGCATACTTTCATTTCGTCTTAAAGAGGCGTTCGCTTGATGAAATAGAGACAAGGACGCGTCTTAGCCGCGAAACGGAATAGAAATTCCTGCAAATTATTGCATGCGCATCGTCAAACGAGTCTTCTTCACGGCTTTCAAGTCACGAGAATATGATACAAAGTTTATATTCTCTAATATCGTTTCCACATATTGTATATCGTTCTGTAAAATTATTTTTATATATAATTTTTATATATAAATACGAATAATTGACAGGTATCAATTTATGTCGCGAAAAGTATACTGATTGAAAGAAATATTATTCCGAATTTATTTCATAAATTTTCTCATTAGAGCAGAGATCGATTTATTTGCACAAATGCAAATTTATATAAAATAAGAAATCTGATTTTTAAAAAATAATTATTTCCATGTTTAAATTATTTGAAAATGTACACGTATTTAAAATTGCATAAATACAGATTTAATTTCACAGACTAAAATCCCATTTCCATTATATTTAGCATTCGTCACAATCTATCGTAAGAAATACTTTTATACGTCTTTAGCGAGAGCGTTTAATGAAGCGCGTTCGAAATTGGCGCGCACTCGAAATCGAACGATGGATCGAGCGGTCGAAGTCGAAGGGAGGGGATCGAGATCGACTCGGGCTACCGCCGCGCAGTGGCGCTCGCGTGCCCGTCACGGCGACTCATTCCTGTAATGGCCGCCGTCTGGCGTTGTTAGTGAGCGTGCGGGTACTGTTGTCGGGAACAGTTGCGTTTACGACGTCGGATAGCATCCGAAATAGCCGCGGAGAGCCGGCCAAGACCGAGAACGGTGACAATCGGAGTGCGGCGCGAGTGCGCGATGTGCCGTGTCGTGTCGTGTCGCGGCTAATTCGCGCCGGTGGCGATTTCAAACGAGCGACTTGGATTTCGTACATATAGTGGCGTATGTGTGTGTGTGTGTATGCGCGCTCTCTCTCTTCTTCTTTTTCTCTCTCTCTCTCTCTTCCTATCCGTCCATCCGTCCGTCTGTTTACCCGAAGCATCGACCGCGACGAGTGTCAACGACTCGTCCGAAAATCGTTGCGTCGTCGATCGGTGTCATCTTTCTTGTTTTACCTCTTCCATCCCCGTCCCGCCTTTTCGCGAAACGCGAGAAGACGCCGCTGATGCAACGGCGTCGTCGCCGGGCTTCCTCACCCTCTCACCCCGCTGACAGATAATAAACACGTCGAGTGACAGCATGCGCGAGTGAAGAGAAAAAACAACGCGGCCGTTGTTTTTATCGCTTTCTTTTCAACTCGCGTCGATATAATCTAGCCGCGATTAGTTTGGAGGAGAACGAGATCCATTATCGCTTCGGCAGAGTCGTTTGAATTCTTCCTCACGTGGTTCAAGGTCATTCTAAAAGCATCACGAGCGAGAACGAGAGGACGAAGCGACGCTCTCCACGCGACGCCGCGCGAGAGAGCTGTCAGCGACCGTATCGTCAGACTTTCTTCCGATGTTTTCGTCTCTCGATCCCTGGGATACGTGACGACGCCGAGTGTTACAACGTCCCCTCGATATCCGATGTACCGTAAGTACCATTTCATTTTGGAGTCTCGGTTTGATTCACATTAATTTGGAGTTCATTTTGGAGTTTACATTCTCCCCTTCTCTGTCTCTGTCTCGCACACAGTATATAACAAGTTCAAAATCAATATTCTATTCTACGTTATTTTTGTTGTAATACGATTTTGTTGTAAACAAGAATATGAATATGTAAACAAGAATATAAAAAGATTGAATTATGATGACATTTCTCCGATCGACTCTTTACCTTCTATAGTATGGTGATATCTATCAAAACACTGGCCATAGTTTTAGATAATCGTTGAGAAAATAAGAGATTCTTCCTGACGAATATATTAACTACTCAAGAGAGAAAGGAGACGATTTTCTATTTTATTATTTGATATCTCTTGATATTTTCAATTTTTTTTCTTATTATGCGTTTATTTTTTTATATTTTTTACATATCTTTTACATATTTCATGCAATATTTTATATTTTATTTATATATGTTCTCAACTTAAATGTCAAATAGAAACTGTTAATATAAAATTTATTTTAAATTAAATGAAAAGAATATTTTCATATGTTGTTTTGTTAAAGCTTAATTTTTGACAAATATTTTATTATCAATCACTTATACCAAAATGATTAATGATCATTTTTGTCAAGGAAGAATTGATTACAAATTAGTTTTATTATTAATATGCATATGCTATAAATGCAATTGTGATAAGTATAACTAAGTATATTTCATATTTGTTATCATTTTGGATTTTATTTATTTTAAATTAATATTATGCAACGATTATAAATAGTTCACAAATATTGCTGATGCGACGTAACATTCTAAGTTCAATTTCAATTTCAAATTTATATAACAGAATATTATATAATTAATCAATGTATATGTTAATATTCACTCATGATCAATATAATTATCAATATTACACTCTATGTTATTTAAATCGGCATTATACTCGTGACAATACGAGCATTGTTATGCGACGAACATAAAATTTAAATTGCACAATAAAAATGATGCATGAAGTAACTGTGAGACAAATAAATAACAAAAATAGTCAATGATAATTAGCAATAATGATCTGTTTAATTATATCTCATATTATTATAATTGTTAGTTTTAAAAAAAAACAATTTTATGTTGAATTACTAATTTTTTCAAGAGAAACAATTTTGTGATGTAATGTTAATTAAAAAATCAATTTCAAGGTTTACAATAATTTAGCAAAGTCTTCAAAAAAAATTTGCATTTTATTTAATATATCGCATTCATATAATTATTAATTATCTCATTGAGATAAAATATTAGGCAATAAAAAATTTATTTTGCAACAAATTGGCACGTATTATTCATTACTGCTACAAAATATTACAATATTTTTATAACAAGCAACATGATTTATATTAAGAGCAGTTTATAATTTATTTTTCCTGTTACTTGTTATGGCACATCTAAGAGTCTCGCGAAAATAAATCTCGATGTCAATCTTTACGATCAATCTGCGTGATGTTTATTGCGTGTGAAAATGTGATTATCTGCCACACGAATGGAGAAAGACTTCAATTATTTGTAATTTATAATCTGCAGAGATACGCGGTCGCATCACGTCAATATCTCCAAACCCGTTAGTTAATTCTTAAGACATCGTACATTATATCTACATCTTATTTTAAGAAGACGTATCGTACATTTTATTTTAAGAATTCAAACTGTTGACGTTTTTAAAAAAGATAAAAAATATTTTAAAATTATATGAAAAGAACATCTCGAATAAATTCCATAAAATATTGTAGAAAATATAAATCTTAAAATAAGAAAAAATTTAAAAAAAAATATATTTTAAAAGTTAAAATTAACGAGGATGTCTTCTAGACGTCAGAGATGCGTATATTAAATTCTGCGTACGCATTCTTTCTCATAACGTTAGTATTCGCGACAGCGTTTTCGACACTCGCCAATCACCGGTCGGCTGCAACTTTATTTCAGGAAGATCTGAATCAACCCGCGAGGAGTCGTCCCCCGATGACGAGGAGAGAAGAACCGTGCCAAGTTCCGGTGTTGCGGTCTTCCTACGCTTCCCTTCGAATCTGTGACGTTATCCTGGGCCGCGCATTGCCCCTCTCTTCAAGGATAACGTTTCATCTGTGACCGACCGACTGTGATTTCAACGTGTGACGCCACTGCCAAAAAAAAGGATACAAACTTGCGTCGATTGCGCGAACTTGCGTCTTCGGCTCCGCTTCCTTCGCCTTCCAGTGTCGAGGACGAGTGTCTTCCACGTTGCACCAGAAATATATATTCATCATCGTGTACCGAAATTCTTCTACGTCTTCCGCGGCTTCCAATGTCCTTAAGCCAAAAGGACTTCTCGGCTTCTTTAAATTTCGTTTGAAGTACATTCGGCACACAAGAGAGTAAAGGAGGATCGATTCTTCCACCGTGTTACAACATCGAATTCCTCGAGGATGTCTCTTGACTAGATCGCAAACTCGATTGACTGTACGTTCTATTCAAAGATATAGATTGCACTGACAATGAGCCTTGCGTCCATTACTTCCATCATCTGAACACGTTCGAAGTGTCGTCTTCGTATCTAGAATCCACAACTTTTCTCCACACTTCGGATACGTGAGGACGACGCCGTGACGACCGAGATCGAGAGGCGCATCTTCGAGCCGGCCGCGTGTGATGCGTCGCACGCAGGGCCGTCGTTGTTGTCTCGCGTCAGCTTGCGCGACCGTCTCGTCGCAATAACGGCGAAGATGTTCGGGAAGGTGCCGCCGTCGAATACGCCGGGTCCGCCTAATAATAACGGCGGCCAAGCGTCAGCCAAGTCGTGCGCCAGACTAACGACGACGATGACAACGACGAGCACGGCGTCGTGTCTGCCGTGCTTCTCGGCGGAGGAGACGTCGACGTTGGGCACCGATGACAAAGCGAGATTCTGGCGACCGTCGAAGGACACCGCCGACGACCCCGCTGCGGTAGTCTCCGAAGCTCCTTGTAATTCTCTACAATCGTTCGCCAGTCACGCGGACACCTCACCTGGCACGGTAGAGCTTCCTAGATCCTGCAGGACCGACGTCACCGCTTGCACCAAAATCTCGACCAAATGTTCATCCAAGGAAACGTCGCAGATCGGCAGGAATCAGGCCAACGCGACGCAAAAGTGTCCCTCCGCTCAGAACTGCCCGAATTTCTCCAAGATCGGCAGATCGCGGAGACCGCAATCCACCTCGACCGGAAGTCTCAATGTCGAATCGTGTACAAGAGAAAATTATACGAAAACCGTGAAGAGGATTGTCGCCGCTGATCGAGAGCAGCAGACAGGTGGTGACAGAACTACGTGCGACGAGCAACAATCCAAATGTTCTCAGGCGTATGCAGGCACCAAGTTATCTTCCGCGACGTCTTCCGAAATGATTAGCCACTCGTCAGGCGGGAAGAGACCCGACAACGAGGATTTCCTAGTGGACACGTGCGCGAAGAGTGCATCCAACGTGTCGGCGACTGTAAACGAGTTGTTGTGCGTGCATCAGAAGCCGGCGTCGAGGATAGTCGACGTGAAAGACGGCGCCGGCGATTCCGCGATCGCCACCGCGACCTGCGAAGACGATTCCTGCGTCGATGACTTCGTCACCTCAACGCCGTCCAAGGACTGGACGCCTAGGAAGGTCAGCAGCGACGCGATGCAGCAGAATTGCGCGTCCTGCGCACCGCAGGAACTCCCCACGGAGCTACAGTCGTCCACGACGAAGAGCTTCAAGGAGAAGTGTCGCGATCTTCCTTGGCGGCCCACGGAGATGACGGATAGCGGCGCGATACACGGATTGACAATATGCTCGGGCGAGACGTTCCAGGATACGAGCTCAAAGAGGCGCACCGGGGCATCCTGTCAGGCGCTCAGGCACGCCGTCGCCTCGTTGAATCGTCTGGATGACTTTTACATGGAGAAGATCGGCGCGGGTTTCTTCTCCGAGGTTTATAAGGTAGGATGCTTGATTTTTAAAAATACATATTAAGATATCTCGAAACAAAAATCAGCGATTGGCTTCATGCTAAATAAAAATATTTAAGTGAAACTTATTAAATAAATTAAATTAAATCGCTGAAATGTTCGAGAAATTTAATAGAATTGATTTAATGCGATGAATATGGAACACATAATATATGTCAAGCACATCGGATATATTGCATTATGCAGACATATTATGCGGATACGTAAGGGACGTGTCCTATTTTGAATTGCTGTTGCCATTAAATTTTGTTTCAAAGTACAAAGAAATGATTTTTTTCTTTTAATGGATAAAGGAAATAATTATATTTGCAATTGTCGAAAATGCAATAGAACGTCAAACACTTATTTAAACGATTTATTGAACCACATAAGCATTTTTTTATTGCTACTTTGATTCGAATATACATATATTTAATTTCTTTTACATATACAGAAAAAAATAAAATAATAATTTCAAATAATATATCAAATAACTATTATTATTACTTTGGAACATGTTATTACTTTAACTATATTTATATACAATTATCTATGTTAATAAATTTTCGTAATTTATTAAATTGACATGAAATTTAAAATAATTCAAAATTGCGCGACTTAGGTTTATCTCGCATCTAATAAGCATATGTTATTAAAAAAAATTTATTAAAGTAGCACGCATTTAATAAAAGAAAATAGCAATATTTATTTTGTGAAAAGATATGAAAACGAATAATGTATTGTTTGTCCAGAAGATCGAAGATGTTTCGAAATATAAATCTAAACTCATTAAGATTTGTTAGAGAAACTTTTCCTTCCGGATGGCACGCGCTTCCTCTTAATTCTCGCTATTGTTCCTAAACAGTCGCTTATTCGAAACAGATCTTACTCTTTGGAATGTGCTATCTTTGCAGATTGATATCTCGACAGAGAGATTAGATACGCTTGCTCGCTAGCATGCGAACATTAGCTTCATGAAATTAATTCTACTCAAAATTGCGTCGTTATTCGCTAGTAAAATGAGTAATCAGAAAGGTTTTTGTGTTGCGACATTACTGTTTTCCGGGGATCTTTATTATATTAATTCCTTGTACACATTTATCAGGGTTCGCATTTTCCTCGATCCTTAACTTATTAAATTTTGTCAATTATTCGCGAAACGAAGAAAAATTACGGAAGAGAATGTTTTCCAATTCGTTATTCCTCAAGTTTAAATTATACACGCAATAATTACGGAAAAAATCATAACTGTCCATATGTTACACCTGAAATTTGGTTATCATGATTAAATTTTAACCACAGCATGGCAGCTAACATTCTTTAGCTATAGTTAAACAAAAGATTCTCCGATAAACTATAGCTAAAAAATATTAGCTATCATAAAAATGTTTAAAATTTAGGCATAATAACTAAATTTTTTATGTAATATATAGACTGTTAAAATTGAGCGATAGTGGCTAATTTTTTTCCGCGATTACAAAGGTTTGTTTTAATCTTTTTTAATTTAATTTAATTTCAAAATATAAATATAATAGTAATCAATATAGTCATAATACATAATCAAAATAATTTTGATTGTGCTTGAAAAATAGGCAAAAGTTCAGAATTAATAATTATTGATCATCGTTATTAATGATTTATATTTGAAAAAAGAAGCGTTATTAATTGCTGAATACAACGTTTATCATCTTTTATGACTTATCAGCAATCTTGACTATCTCGGCGATCATTAAACCACGCATGATTTGTCAATGACTATTCATTATTCGTTCTTCTTTTATTGAATTTTGCAGTTGGAACTGCATAAGAATAAATAATACAAATAACATCTTTTTTATTAATTATTATTATTAATCATACTAAAACATTAGCATTTTATATTTCAAATAGATTTCTATCATTATAATTTTAATATAATCAAATTTTATTATATCTATACATGTGACTAATATTGTATATTTAATGTTGATCTTTAGTAGTGTTTATATATATTTTATAAATATGATCCTAGAAGTGGTTAAGATGCATAATTAATCGATTGTAGACACAATGTGTCAGGTTTCGAATTTTTATCGTAATATTTGACGAATGAATATAGCAAATTATTTCACAACTTTCATTTATTTATGACAATTCTTGGGACAACAATAACGATTACTCGTCGTTATACGATTTTTGACGTTACTCCAAATTTTGTCAAGTTTCATAATTCTTGAAAACAAGCAGAATCTTATGCGAAACAGCAATTTACTTGATTAATTTGTGCATGAAATTGAGATATAAAAATATATTTTGTATGTGATAACTGCATAATTGAAGGTGATTAGATGATTTATATCGAAGCAATACATATTTGAATAAATCTATTTAAAATCTGTCTTGTCCAAAAATATATTTTATTTTCCGATTAAACATGCATCTTTTCTATTTCTAGAGATCATAATTTTTTATATATAATCTTTTTATTTTTCATGAAAATTTACTAAAGTCTAATCTTAACGATATTGCCACTTTAGATTTTTTATCTCAGATTCAGCTGAACAGACACAGACTCTGTAAGAAAATTCATTCGTAATTTTTGATTAAAGTATGCTCGACTAGAAAATTGATTAAAGTACTTGTTCGAAAATCTTGGCACGACGATTGAATTATCGTGCCAAGAATGTATGAGTCTGAAGGGGAGCTCAGACCCCCCAATGACCCTACGTCGGCTGCGATTAACTTTGAAATATTTTCAAAATATATTTTGAATTTATTATAATTATAATAATTCATGCTCAATATTCTCACAATAGCTGTATATATTTTTTCAGAGTTCTCGTTATTAAATTACAGAAGAATTTAGTGATAATAGGTTTTCTATATTATATGTTATAATTAAATAATTAATGCGTAATGGATAATATTGTAAAAAAATAGTAAATTCTGATAATTAAATTGACATAACATATGGAACTCTAGAGCTTTTCTCAATTTAAAATTGTTAGATATTTTTCCAAACCTGTAAGTGGCACTGAGCATTGTATAATAAATTAAGAATAGTATCAGCAAAATATAATAACTTTTATAATCATATAATCAAAATACATTTTTAATTTTTATAATTTTAACTATGTTCAAAGAAGATTTAAAGTAGAAGTTGACCTATCGTCAACATATTTGAAGGCACAAACAGTAGGATCGATTCCACCCGCGATAATATCGAGAACCACAGGTTTATTTTTAAACGAGTCTCGCTAATGCGCTCAGCAGAGGTGCGCTATTCACCATCTGGCGAAACAGAAAAATATTATCTTTAGTAGTCAGCATGCAAGAGAGAAAAAAAGAAATTATTCTACGTCTTACTGAAATTCCGCAAAACTAAAGTCTCATAAAAAAAGGAGAAAAAAAAACGAAATCGTTCAATTATTAAATCAAATTTAATTTAGCTTAATATTAACTTTCACCAAGAACACACGGAATACTTCGTAACAAGAATGCCGTGTAAGAAAAATGATTCGTAAGGAGTATTCTACGCGTTGCCGCGATGTTTGCGCATCGCTGCGCCGGAGGAATCACCGCAGTCACTACGTGCTCAATTTCCTGTTGACCTATTTATAACGTGCCTATCCGCGCCGGAGAAGCCGCGGCATACTTCTCAAGGTCCCGGACTGTACTCGGTTAACTTCTGGTGCACAGGTAGTTCCAGAGTCGAGCATCTGCTCACAATCACGGGTCTGCGAATGCGCGAAATTGCAGATTGCACGAAAGGAATATCGCGAAACTGGGGCAACTTTCCGGCCACTTTTCGCCGACCATCGCCGCGCGTGATATAGATAGATCGATAGAGAGACACGTGCATATAAATCTCTTCTCTGCAAAATGCGGCATCGTGCGCTCGATACACAGCGAATTTGCGATCGATTTTCGCGAAATTGCTACACAATTCTTAGCCTAAAATCGACAAGTTGAATCTCGATGATTCCTCATTGCAATAAAAGCACGCAACTATAGAATGATATCATTTGTTTACTTGCATTTCGTGTTTACAAGATTGCCATTTTAATTCTAATTGCTGTATAATTTCTCATTATATCTATATTTGCATTTATTTTGTCTGATTTTTTCGAGAGGATAGTGCTTCTAAAAATGTTTTTATTTTATTAGAAATTTTTATGGATTTAACGCAAAAATATTTCAAATATTTTTATGACAAATGATGTCTCTAATCTCTCCTTCTTTTCACTTTTATGATATTTCAATAAATATTTTAATAATTGAGATCTGTTTTCTATCTTCTCACAGTGTTATATCAATAGTTGGATCTGCATTTACAATAGCGTTTCCTATTAAAGCAAAAGTTATTTGTTTTATGCAGAAAAAATCGACTTAAAGCGAGTGAAAGTATCATTGTAGAATTTCTATAATATCTTAAGATAAATTCTCGAGATATGTTCTGCGAGCTATTTTTTATGAGATGTTTGATTTATGAGATTTAGATTTGCAATAATTTTTCTATTTGTTGTACGCGAATACTACTTTTTCCGGAAAAATTACTATCGAAAAAAAAATATATGTATATTTGACTACAAGAATATTTTACTACAGTGTTAACTGAATTTTGAAATTACATTCAAGAAAAATAAAGTCAAGGATGAGACCCTTCGATAATTACGTGCTCTTGCTCGCTGCGAATAAATACAATGATTTACGTAATCTGCCGTGACACTATTCTGAAGTCGCAATGTCTTTTGCATTCGCAAACGTAAATATTACGCATGTACGCGATCATGAAATTTGATAGACAAGTCACTACAGTATTATATATATTACATTGTGTCCAAATATAAGTTACATTTTTCAAGATATTTTTAGAATAAATTTTCTATAATTCAACTTGCAATTTAAAATTGTTGATGACAAATATTTCTTACAATTTTTTACTTATGTATTATATTCATTGATATATGTATTATATTCTTGGAAAAAAATTAACCACCATAGCTAGTCCCT